GGAGCAAGTTGTGGGATTTGTCGGAGCAGCAAGCTTGGCAGGAGAACTTTAAAGTCAATGTGTGTGGTCAAAGTAATAAAGAGAGAGAGAGCTAGAAGCAACTGGGGCTAAAGGTGACCCATGAAAAACTTGTGAGCCAGCAGTGCCATAATGCTGAGGATTTACTGACCAGACTGGTTAGGAATCAATCTTAGATTGTGTCTAATTGGATTTTAGCCATGGTGTTTTCAACAAGCAGAATGTGAGTTAATTCATGTGATAAACATAAAAATGTTTGCTTGTAAGATGCAACAGGAAAAACTACATGCATCAAATTCCCTGTGCAGCTTGAGAACAAATGCCTGTTTCCTGTTTCCCCACTACTGCCAGTGCATGAAAGCTGCAAAGACATTTTAGGCTGCCAGTAATTTGTTTGCACCTGCAAAAACTTGAGCTTTTTGCTGAGGCTATTGTGACAAGATGGGACAAAAGGAAGGGCAGGATGTAGCCCCTGCAGCTGTGCATACAGGACAACACTGCAGGACACTAGTAAAGTTCAACAACCTAGCAGATAGAAGCCAAGGCATAAAAGGGCTGTGAAGAATTCAGACTGGCTGCTTATTTTCCAGCACCCAGACACTGGCAGCTTTCACCTTTTAATGCACATATAAATACATGCAAATCATATGGCAAGGACTAAGAATCCGCTTGTTGTGAAAAAGTCTACATTCTCTCTGTGCTTGTGTCTGCCATCAGTCTGCATTTACACAGGTCAATGATGGATAACCAGATTTTTAGATGGCAGGAAAATATTGCTATTGATAGGAAGCGATTGGAAGACAGAGAGTTGTCTTGTGTTGTATGTCTGCAGCACAGAGATACTGTATTTCAGCCAAAAGCACACTTAAGAGACCGCTGCTAATACAGTGGTGACAGAGAAGAATATAATGGGTTTCCTAATGTAGAAGTGTTAGCTTATTATGTTAATCCACGTAGAATAAATGTGATTCACACAATTTCATAATTGTAATTTCAGTTTACTTCGAATTGGGGAACCTATTCCATTGTTTGTATAAAATGCAAAACAAAAAAATGCATTAATTGTTTTTATGTCATATAGGCATAATGCCAATGTTTTCATTATTTCAGAGTGATTAGTTGTGAATTACTATAAATTAAATTGCCAAAAAAGGCATTTCACACATTGTGGAGTTGAACCTTATCTAATTTTATATTCATAAACTGAATATTTAGATAGTCCTCTACTTTTTGCAAGGAATTTCAGAAGCAGGAAATTAAAATGGCAGCTGTTTTACTGAGATAAGCCTCCGTTTTTTTTCTTCATGCATTTATGGCATCTTGCATGCTAATGGAGTCATGGCTGATCACCAATATGCTTTCTTAAACCCTGTCAGGTGCAAAATTGCGATGATCATTCATGGTCTAAAACAGTTATTCATACACTAATGTTCCTCCCTGAAATTTGGCTTGATGTGTTGTGTCCTTCATTGAGATCAGTTCTGTTTAGCAGCACAGCTACTTATTTGTTTTGCAGTCTGTACACACTCTGTCTAGTTCAGTCCATGTCTGGAATTAAACAGTGTGCATAATTCTCACTGGATTCCAGTCTGGCTTTTGAGAGGGAAAAAAACAGAAGAAGAAGAAGAAACTCACCTTCTCTGCTTAAAATGAGAAAGGAGATTCTGTAATGAGGGTTTACACATTCAAGCCCAGTCCTCTGTGTGCACCAACAGGCCAATTTGCAAGCTTCCTGCATTCATATTGCTACTGACTGTGGCAGTAATTCCACACAGTGTCTGAGCCCCACATATCACCTCTTAATAGAATTTTTTGAATTCACGCTCACACCTTACAGACACAGTGCTGCTGAATACACCTCCCACTCTTTTTAAATGCCAATCAAGTACATGAAACACAAATCTTGTCTATGTGTATGTTCCCTGAATATCAAGGGACTCTTAGTGGTTAAATTTGTACCATTTCTCTCATTTAATAGCCTTAAAGATGGGAAACCTTTGGCAGTAACAGCAAAGGTTCAATTTTAACACCAAGTAATTGCTCTTCAGTCACATTGGGTGCAGCCATTTAAGTCTGTGAGATGTGCCTCAGGTCAAAATACCACGTCAGCAATACAATAGTCCACTCTGAGGGATATGCATATAGTATATGTATTCGTAAATGTTATCAAATATTACTCCTTATTTAACCCAGGTATTATGATGCATGTCGAGTACAATAAGAGGGCTGTCTCACTGAGGGAAGCAGATAGACATTAGCATTACAGTTGGTAGTCAATGCCATCCTGTTTCAACTCAACAAAGCAGAACCATGTCTCTAATGAATCACACTCAGAGCAGTACATAAGTTATAGTGTGGAACAATTACAAAAGCATGTGTATATTGCCATATACTGCCATAAGCCTTATTAATCTATATTCATTATATCCATCTCTAAAATCAAAACAGACAGACCAGGTTTATTACAATTCTGATATATCCCTTTAAAGGTAATTAACTAGGGACAACTTTGAGGAAAACCAATTAAACACATGGTTCCTTTCATTTCAAATGTAATCACCTGTTACTATTACAGATTAGCACTCCAATTAACAATTATTTTTCTCGATTAATCCAGTCACTGTTTGATATAACTATCAGGAAATATTGAAAAATATCTGGTCTGGTTTTGTCCAAACAAAAGTCTAGAACATAAGGTGAAGAAAAGCAGCAAATTCTCACAGAAGATCGAAAAGGAAATGTTTCATATTTTTGCTTAAAAATGATTCCACAGCAGATAACTCCACATGACAAAGGACAACACAGAGTGCAGTTGGTAGAAAAATTAACAAATCTTTTTCAGGTGTTACAAGATCACAGGAGGAAACTGCACTGTCAAATCTTTTTGAAGGCGTCCAAACACAACATGGTGTGACACCTCAGAAATAAGAGGCACAACGCGCTGTGACAAGCTAATTGTTATGCTGCAAGAGTTCAAAAGGCAACTGGAAGGTCAGCAACATCATATGATGTTTACTAATCTGTCTCTGACTCAGAAACACTGCAATCGCTGACTAGTTTCCCATCACATCTCTTTCATAATATCGTCCACTCCCATCATGTGGTCACTAACTGAGAACAACTTAAGGATTAAGAATCTTTATGAATATGTGTCCAGAGGAGAAAAAAAAACATCTTAAGTTGTAATCATAGTTTTGTTTGCACACAACCTGAATTTATCTCAGCTGGAAAACAAAGCTTTGACTGAGAATATATACAAGCAGGTATTGAAACTAAATCATGATGCTTCTCTAACTACAAGACAACAGTGAACTTTTGATCCAATAGAGGGGAAGTACAGCATGTGATAATATGAAGAAATCATTTGAATGACTCTCATGTAGCAGAAATCTTGCAGCAGTTTACTATAAGTCACAAGGAGATTTGAGTAAATCAATCCGTTTCTCTGGATATATATTCTTTCTTATATTCTTTTTTTTCTCTGTCTGTGTATACTTTTGGTTTTGTTTGCTGAAGCAGCCTGAGCTTCACAGATTCTTATCATGGACTAAATAACAGGCTACTAAAGGAAATCGCAGAGCACCCCGAGGGCTGCCATTACTGAATGCTTCTTTCATTTGTTGCTGTAATAGTTACATGGCTGACTGTCACTGATTTGTTCTGTAAAATGAAGAAGAAACTGAACAGCAACAGACCCACACACACAAATAAAAAAAAATCTAAGCATTTTATCAATCCTGTGATATGTAAAGCAGATCGGTTGTGTTAACTCGCCGTAATACCTCAGCAAGGCAGCGTCTACACCAGCTGTGTTTGAGATGGGGTCTGCACCCGGCACCTCTAAAACCATTCTTTTCACACTGGGGTGTCACTCTTTCATGTTCTTCTGTTACATCAATGTAAAATATGCTGCCTCTCAGTGGCCATCTGGAGAGGGCAGGTCAGAGCTGTGATAGTAAACGAGTGGATTACAGGGGTCAGTTTCTTGCTGGATGCACAAAGGGATGATGTAATGTGACAGCTCTGTCTGGTGGCTGCATGAAAATAACATCTACCACAGCAGTGTTAATAGAAGGTGAAATCACAGGCTCACTATGACAGGTTTTCACTATCAGCTCTGCATTTCTGTAGGCCTGTCAGACAGTAAGAACACTAAACCGGGCTGCTTCAGTCAGATAGTGTAAGTCTCTGCCTTCCCTGGTGTGTTGGATTTTCCAGATCAGCGGGAAACTGGAGCAGAGAGAACCAGTTCTGTTGTGGAGTGCAGGCTTGAAAAGCTGGAGAGGAAGAGGGTGGTGGTATTTTCCTGCATGCAGTCTGATCCTAAAACACAGGTGCAGCTTCCATGCAGCCCACTCTGGCTTTGAGCATACCCCCCACCCCCCCACCCCCCCTGCTGCAAAGTGTTTGTCCATCTGATCCTCCATTAAATCCTGATTATTATGGATTTGTCTTTCTCCAACCTGTGATTTGCAAAGATGAGGGACTGCTAAAGGTTATCTGGTGAAGGTGTAGCTCTGACAACAGGGCTATCAGTTGGCAATCAATGTCAGAAATTAGTAAAGCAATGTGCATATAGGGCGCAGCAGGTTAATCTTAATTCTGTTGTCAAATGTGCAGAAACAAAAGTCAGTATCCTGAAATAAGGCAACAAATAAGATACATATCCTCACTACCATTAAAGAAAATGACATTTGATTCAAGTTAAAGCATTGCTGGGGAAGCAGCAGTTTAGTTTCACTTGCTGTTATAAAAAAAGAAATTACAGTGTAATAGTCAATCTTGGCTTGTTTTTCAGTGCAGCTACACCTACTCAGACTCCTGTTCCCTCTGAGAGAAAAACTGGTAAAAATGATGGGGGTTCACAGCTGAGACTTGGGGCTCCCAGCGGCGTCATGCAGAGCCGATCATTGTCTCTCTCACACTTTCTAACTAGCCATTTCACAACATCCAGACAGCGGATCGGGCCGTATAGGCAGCAGCAGCAGCAGCAGCAGCAGCAGCAGCTTTGCCCTTAGGGCTTTTTTCCTCCCCGACGTCGACCATAACTAACAATTTGGATTCAACGCGCGGATGAGGGCAATTACTGGACTTAATCTATCATAATGTCTGCTTTCCGATCGACTGATAGTCAAATGAGTTAGAAGCAATGGCTGAAAAGATCTGAGTCAACCGGGTGCGAGAAGTGGCTGTTTAAATGAATCCTAACTAAAAAAAAAAAAAAAGAAAAAAAAAGAAGCAGCACTTTGATTTCACTGCAGAGCAGACTTGGGGGAAGCTGATCGGTGGACATCATGTACAGATTGGCGGATTTCACACTCAGAAAAACACTGAGTGCGTTTGATTTCGGATTACTGTGACACACGGGACGTATTTTTTTTTTAAGTGGGAGATTTTTTATTTATTTTTTTTAGGAGTCTGCTTCCTCTCGCTCCTGTTCGCTGTCCTCCGGGTTCCTGCAGGACTCCAGAGTCGCGGAGAGCCCATGCAGTCGCCAAGGTTGGTTTGTCTTATTTTTTTCGAGACTTATTTTGTATTTTAACCACTGTTATCTGCGTTTATTTTACACGGAGCTTTTGTCAGTTTTTGCTTTGCTTGCTGGGTTGCCAAACTATAAGAAAATGTATATTTGTCAACCATGAGAAGAGGTGGATTTCTGCTTAGAACTTGATCTATTTGCTGGTTGCCACACGAGAAACTGGTAGAAAACTGAATTTATAAATGCAATTGATTATAAAAAAACTGCGTTCACTTGACTCTTGCCTGTTAAATATTAGCCACGCAGCGCTGTTTTATTTAGCCTATAACATTGTCAGCATTGATTAGTCTTATTCCCACAAACCCGGCTGAGGCTACTTTTATCTGACTGGAAATAAAGGATGATCTTCTTCTTCAGAGCAGCGCAACAGGACAAATCCGCCCGTTGGCTGCAGATTTTCACCTTTTAAATTCTAATTGCATGACAGCTGTAATTAGAGCAATAACCGAGCTGTCCACGAAGCTCAAATTTAATGACAGGTTTGGTTGTCCTCATCATGCCATGTGAGTTTGTGTCATGATTTGAGGTTTCATATCAGAGCCCATAACAAGCGCCATCTGTTGGAAAAGAGGATGATTCAGGACAGATCCACAGAGAGAAATGTGGGCTAGTGCATACAGTTTAACGCTGCGCAAAAGAGATGTAACACTTTACCAGTATATTATTTATATTATATCACATCAAAATGTCAAAATCGTGTCCGTTGTAATCCCTTTAACAACAGGTTTGACAGGTGATAGCAGAGATTTAAAGCAGCACACCATGAACCGTGAATGGATTATACCTACTGGATTTATGGACATGTTTTATTGTTCTATTATTATATGTCACCTTTACCTGTTAGAGCATGTGAAACACATAGTCTGCCTTATGTCTCTATAAACTAATATTTTCTCATTTATAAATGGTTTGTAATTTCAGTATCTTACAGGGCCATGTGGCATCCTACAGGTAAAAGTCAAAAAAGCAATCAAACAATTTGTCAGACACTAATACTAGACTGTCATCCAATAAGTCAAAATATATAGGTGGTATAAGGCCTGGTCCTACAGCCTAGTCTGCATTGAAAGTATAGTCAAAATGGAAACATCGTAGCCCTACAGCTACAGGCAATGATTATTTTCACTGATTACTTAAGTCTACAGAATGTATTAAAATAGCAAAACACAACTATCCATTACAATTCATCACAGCTCAAGATGCCATTGCCCCTTTTTGTCCAACAAACAGCCCAAACCCAAAGACATTCAGTTTGCAGTGATGTAGAACTGAGACAAACAATGAATCCTTGGAGAAGCTGGAAGCAGGCAGTGTTTGGCATTTTTGCTTGATAAATGACTGAACTGATTTAATTGTTTATCAAAATAGCTGCTGAATAGTTTTGCATTGATAGACTATTGATCAACTAATCATGTAAACACTTTTTATTTATTAATAATTCAATATTTCTGAGGAGAATAATGAATAAAAAGGGCTGTCCAGGCTGAAGAAATGGTTGGTGGACCTGTAAGATAATAATTCATTATCAACTGATATATGTGAAAAATCTGTCAAATAATTAGTATCTTCAAAGTAGCCTATGTCTAAATATCTAGTGCTTATTAAAGACCAAAGCTTAATTGTGACTATTACAATACTAGAGATGTTAATATAATTTATTGTCAAATAATCATTAGCATATTCCTCACAAACATGACATAAAAATGACTAATAGACTGAAAACCTTCTTAGCCCACCAAATACTTAACAACCATTTAGTCGACGAACTGTCTGAATGGGGGCAAGCCGTGTAAAAACACGTACATATTAACATCTTGTACCTTTGTCTGCTAAGTCACTGCAACAGGTGAACACATTTGGTCTCCAAGCTACATGCACCATCTTTTTTTCAGACCTGACACAGATACAGAGACATTGATTCTGAAGGTTTTTCTACCAACAGTCAGCTAACACTTGAATCAGTCACACTTAAGGAATATCTACATCAAAGCTTTTAAAGTGTTTTGACGACATTTTAATTCCTGACTTTGCTTCTATGTCCACACTGTCGCCGCTAAAAGCCAAAAATGTTCCACACATTATATATCACAGAGCAGCTTATACCTTTCAGCTGCAGTCCTTCAGTTCATATATGACTGCCTGGTATATTGGAGCTGGAAATCAGTCTGCACTGGGCCACCCTTGTTGAAAACATGCGTAGGCTCAGACCTCATTGTACACGAACGTATCCATCATCCATGAGAGGGACAGCAATCACAAAGACATTCACCGCTCTATGGAAAAATACTGTACAGCCAGCCTCAACCTGAGTATGCAGCCTTCTGTCTGGCAGTATTTTGGTTTAAATGGCAGTAAAAGACGCCAGTAATGTGCCATTTGTACAACTGAAAGGCATTCAAAAGAGGGGGTATTATGCCTTTTAGAGGAGGGGATCACCGCCTGCTTTTCTGAGTAGTGGTGGAAATGTATTCAAATCATTTAAGGCAACATGCAAAAGCCACTCTCATCACATGTACATGCGTACTTTCTTAATTTAACTCAAGTAAACAAGTATTATCAGGAAAACGTACATTTGAATCAAACATGAGAGCACCTCCTTTTCGCGCCGTTGATGTGTTAACCTGTCAGCTTATACTTTGGTTTTGGCTCTGGTTACTTCATGTAGTGTTGGGTGGTTTAAACTACAGCGGAATAACATATTTTATAATATGTCTGACAATGTTGCTCATTTAATACTTGAGGATGAGTTTAAAACATATAATTACAGGCATACTAGACATAATTAAATGCTTATTCTGATATTTTTTAGACTTAATATCTTTAAATTAGGTGGGTTTTCAAAAAAAAAAAAGCTATAGACCATCATGAGGTGAGAAAACATTTACAGGAAATATATGTGAAAACTTCAATGAATAAATACCGTATAATGCAAGTTTTTGTGTGGCGTCTAGTCAAACATTTTTGGGGAGGTGGGGTTGAGCTGGGGGAATATGGACACACAACTGCCAGTATTTCTAGAATTGCTATGGCCCTGTTCCTGTCTGAAATGCAGGTGTCAAAAGTATTACTAGGACACTAAGATTCGATCAGCCTTCCTTTCAAATCATCCTTACAAAGCATATATGAATAAATGGGCGTTCTTTACTTCCCTAGTGAGATATTCAGTTTGATTTGACAGGCTGTGTTTTTTGGAGGTTAAATTCCTTTAAGATCCAGTTCCCTCCTTTTATTTTTCCCCTCACCTAACGGACAGCATATCTGACAGTATCATACATGGAGCTGAAACTATTATTCAATATTCAATTTATCATTCAACAGAAAATTAATTCACAACTATTATGACAATCGATTAATCGTTTCAATCACTTGTCAAGCATAAATGTCAACTCTTTGCTTGTTTCACCATGTTAAACAGGGATTTGATGTTTTTCCTATGTATGACAGTAAACTGATTATCTCTGGGTTTTGGACTGTTGGATAATACAGGCAATTTGAACACATCACCATGGACTCTGGAAAACTGTGAGAGGCATATTTCACTCTTTTCTGACATCTTACAGACAAAATTGAGAAAATAATTGGCAGATTCATTGATAATGATAGTAATCATTACTTGCAGCAACCTTCATTAAATACAGACTATAGTATCAGCTTGTTCCACTCTTTCTTGAGGCTGTTTACGCTGGGTGAATTCAAACCCAATACTCTAGTTTTTATTGCTGCACCATTTGATCAAATAGAAATATTCTTGATGATCATTTTATAAGCACTTATCCAACATTCAGCCTGAGATATATGGTATCTTTGTAAACTTTGGAACCTACGTTATAATATATAAAATAAAGTTGTGTTAATTTGAACAATGTTTGGCAGCATAGCACAAGTTTGGCCCAGCAGTAGATCTGTGGGATTGGGGAGGTTTACAAGGCTTGAAGCCACCATTTTAGATTCATGTTAATATGTCATTGTAGATTTAAACATGCTATGAAGAAGAACAGTTATTAATTGACAGCTCTCTAAGAATAAAAGCGATGTTTGTTATTAATGTTGATTGTTTTCCTCCTCTTTCCTCTGTATTAATCCCCTCACACATGCTCAGAGGAGGGAAGACACGTTTGCTTTTCAGGTTGTCCCTCCACAGTGAGATTATTGTTGTCATCTTTGCAGCAAATCAAACCTTTCTTAAATGGCGCTGTGCACCAACACTTTGTGGGTCGTGAAGACTCGGTCGTCGTCGAACAAGTCTGCACATTGAGATGTAACTTGAAACGTGGAGAGGGGGGTTTACGGGCAGAACAAGCAGCCGTGATTGGTTCAGTGTGTCCGCTGGCCCACAGAGGCTGCACCTTCTCGACACTCCCTAAAAGGAAGATAGGTTGCCTGGCTGCTTTCAGCCGTTTGTCCCGCACTGACTGTTAGCTAGCTAACTCGGCTGTAGCCGTTGACTTAACTCTCATACCGAAGAGGGCAAAAAAACAAAACAACAGCTTCTTACCTGGTAGTGATGAAAGGACGGGGCAGACTTCTTTATGGACTTTTTTGAGTTTTCTCAACCAGGACTTGGCGGCTCTAACTCTTCTCCTCTGTCCTTCCTTAATGCGGTTTGACCAGGGAGAGGAGTGAAGTGCGACCCCGAGCTGGATGGATGGTTATGGGGAAAAGAGGAAGACCCTCGGCGCTTGAAGTGTGCAGAGTCCTCGTTGTGTTTCTCTCACTCTTCCCCTCCGGTAAGAAACCACTTTCACTCTTCAGGTTAAAATAAAATCACCAACTGTTATCTTTTACATGGACACGGTTCACACACTACAGGCTGAACTTTGTAAATCGCAGCGTCTCTCCAGAAGCTTCAACTAACAACTTAGCTACTTATTCACGTTGGGCAGCGAGGTTAGCGAGGTTGCCAGGTCTGGTCCCATCACTATTTATTATCCCAAATATTTAAGTGATATTATAACTGAACTAGAGTTACTTAATATATCTAGAAATGAGAACGTGTTCGCTAAACTCCTCAAATTGCTATATATTTATGTAGATATTTAGAATTTGCCATTGTAATCTGTTGGAATCTCACCACACTCAATGCAAAAAATAAAATGTATTAGATTACAGAGCTTTAGGGCAATGTGCTTACGTGCAGACGTGTGGAAAAGGTTGGAGGTTTGGAAAATATGACAACAGACTTGAAAGTGAACAAGCTTGGCATTACAGAGCAAAATGTGACAAATTTCGGTAGATTTAGGCAGCGTTTTTTTTTTTTCATTTAATTTTATTAGAGAAAAGTAAAGCACACAGAGGTCTTCTTGGAGCTGCTGCAGCTCCCAAACCTTGTTTTGTTTGGGGGATGGGGCATGCCTCAGTATTTCACGTTAGCTTCTTGAAAGTAACCGTTTTGTTCCATCCTGTAGTTTGCTCAAGCGAGGAATAGCATTTTTAGGTGTTTTAATTATTGCCAGTGAAACGTAAAGAAAGGTGTATTCATAGAGATTGTGGTGGTTATGAATGTGCCTGTTGAAATGTTTTAAAGCCTACCATAACTGCTATTTTTGAGAAGGTTTTTCAAAAGCGTTCGTGAAAAAACCCAAGAATATTCCCATTACGATGCAGCACTGTTGTGGCACTATAGTAGGAACCCACATTGTTGTGTTTAAATTGACTTAATATGCTTGTAACTTGACAATAACATGATTGCAGTGGGTCACTTTTTGCAGTGGAGACACTCCATTCACTCACCTTGCACGTTTGCCAAACCCTTATCAGTTTCCCTCTTAAGTCACTTACCGTCAAACAACAAGGTGATAATGCACTGATAGTCGAGATCGAGATTAGTTTATTGCCATCTATCAAATGGGTGGTAAATGGAGAGGCAGTGTGGGGGTTGGTGAGTGCTGCGGTGAAGCTTTGAGGAAGGATATTGTTTAAAGTGTGACTTCAAAGTGTTGATATGGCCTCCCCCCCCTAGACACACTTGGAGAAACTTCTCACAGCCCATTCAAATAAATGGTCTATTAGCTGAAGGTAATACTAGTCAAACATGGTGTTGCAACAGGGCATCCTGAGAAATATTTGAAGAACATTTGTGTAAAGAGTTAGCCGGATGCGGCATTAAAGCTGGAGACAACAATCTACAGTCAAGCAGCATTTATTATCACTAAAGGTGGAGATTAGGATCCCAAATGGTGTTTTTACTTGTACACAATCCAAAAGACACTGTGTGTGAAAGGGAAGTACACTTCTCTAGAATAAACAGAGAGGTTACCTTATATCCAGGTTGACCTGAGGAGAGGTTGAGACCTGCTTACTTACTACTAAAAGACATTGTTACATGGGGTAAAATGTATAGATTTGTTTAAAAATATGTTATTTGAAAATTTTCATGGCGCTTAAACAACACACAGCAGCAGCATTTCTCTTCCTTTTTTTCCCAGCATTGGAGAGTTTTTTTTTTTTTTTTTTTTTTTTTAATTTTAACCAATTGCCAACTAGATAATAGACGAAACAAAGTATGCAGCAAAAGATAACAATTTTCATTTTGTTTATATCATAATATAACGTGTAATATGCAAGAAAGGTAAGATATTTGGTACTGCGGCCTTTAAGAGAAACAACATTGGCTGTGTGGGCCTTAGACATTAATTGGCATACATGATTAGTTAGAATATTGATTAGTTGGTCAGTTAATTGATTAGTTAGTTCATGATCAGTTAGTTCTTTATTATTCATCATCCATCATCAATAACAACCAAAGTGTATTTATAGCTTCATCTGTGGACTTGTAGGTATAATGGCAGCCTCTGGTTTGGTTCTTTTGTTCATATGTTATCTTGTTCCTCCCTGACAGTGAGTCTGCAGTGCAAGATCCTCAAGTGTAACTCGGAATTTTGGGCCTCCACCTCGAACTCAGGACCGGAGGAGGAGTTTTGCACGGCGCTGCGAGCATACAACAGCTGCGTGCGCCGGACCGCACGTACCTGCAGGGGCGACTTGGCGTACCACTCCGCCCAGCATGGCATAGAGGATCTAATGAGCCAACATAACTGCTCCAAGGAGGGGCCCACATCCCAACCACGTGCCCGGACCTCACTTCCTCCTCCACCCCCTCCACTCCTGCCCGGCAGTCAGGAACGCTCCGATGGCCCGGAAGTGTGCCACTATGAGCGCAGCCTTCCACGCAACACATCGCCACCCAACTACACCCACTGTGGCTTCTTTGGAGACCCGCACCTCCGAACCTTTGGAGATGACTTCCAGACATGTAAGGTGGAAGGAGCCTGGCCGCTCATCCACAACAAATACCTATCTGTTCAGGTGACCAACACTCCTGTGGTGCCGGGGTCTTTGGCCACCGCCACAAGCAAGGTGGGGATCTTTTCTGTTCATCCCGCATTCATGTTTGTTGTTGTTGTGTGTTTGTGTACATTTGTGTCAGAAATTATAAATCGATTAACTGTATTCTGAGGCAACTTGGGCTATCAGCTGATTATTGTCTCCATTAATCAACTAGTTGCTTTTTCTAAAAAAAAAAGAAAGAAAAAAAAAAGCAGACTTGTTCTCTGTGAAACTGAACAATTTTTCAACATTTCCTGACATTTTCAAGGCTAAACCTTTACAAAATAACAGACAAATGAAGCTGTAGCTGTACTGATTTTTACATTATTTGTCAGTGATGTAAATTATCACAACCTTTACTGTTAGTTGTAGGTCCTTAAATGTCAGTGCTACAGTAGAATATCAAGCTGTGCATATTTTTATATGTGTGAGTCTCTCCTTTCATGTGGTCAGACAGTGAGAACTGCTGTGGGGCTGGTTTTCTGTCAGACTGTGGACTCTGGTTAGTGTTTGGATGGGTTCCATAATGACAGATGAAGAAGCCCAGCCCAGCACAATTGTTAAGATCTTGATAAGCTTTATAAATGATATGTTAGTGTTATAACAGCAGTGCTGCGTCAAATGTTAACTTCAGGCTCCATTTTCACTTTTCACTGTGGACTGCTCAAGCTGATGTTTGGCCTACTTAGAGTATATCCATACTGAGCACAGTAAAACATTGTGTCTACACAGAACTGTAGATATTTATTTTCTTGATAACATGAGATTTTCATTCATAGCTTTATCAACAGTGCATACCTCATTATTGTTGTGTAGTTTAATGGTATATTGGTTAGTTTGACTGCCGCTCCCTAAAAAGGCTTTCATTAGAACTTAATGTCAAAAACAAAGAAGTAGGAGTATTTGTAGTTGGCAAATTCACTTAGAGCTGGTCCAGTTTTGGCAAAATTGACAGCAATGACTGTGCACCTCAGTCACTTTGCAGACTATTGTAACTGAACTATTTAGACTGAGGTATAAGAGGACTTTGTCTGTAATCACATTTGTAAAAAGTGTAATTTTCTGTAATCAAGGTTTCGTAATGATGCTCTATTAAGCGTTCGTGTTTTTTTAGCTATTAAAGTAATGGCATTTTTTACAGTGCTGTTCTTGGAAGCAAATGAGAGAGCCTTTTTAAGATCTTGATTCTGGACAAAGGGAAAACAAGGCAGCAGCCAATGCCACCTGTGCAAACAAGGCCCTTCTGGTAAAGGATCTGCATTTGCAGAGCTCTGTGTTGGTACATTGCTCTCGCTGCAGCAAATAAAACTGTCTGGTTATTTCAATCTTCATTCTGATGGGAGGAATAATGGAGGCATTTTTCCTTTTGTTTGTTTTCATTAAAAGCTCAAGAAATGAACCAGGAAAAAAACATAAGTTGATGTAGTTGGGAAATGTTAGCTGAGGGTAAAGGGAATTGAGACAGAACTGGTGCAACAGATGAATTGTCAAGCTAAGAGAGTATTCTGTGGACTCCCCCTGTCCTCTGTCCTAAGCAAGCAGACATCAGAGTGGGTAGGCTGTCCTGGTATCGCTGCTCTGACAATGGCTCATTGGTGTCCCGATGAAACCAAGCTTGCAGAGTCCTGACCAGTCTCACTTAATTAGCTGCAGAGTATATCACTCCGTCCTGGCCCGTCGCCACTCCCTGGAGCATAGTTCTGGGGTTCACAGGCAGGTTTTTCAGCGCTATGAATGGATCGTCTTTGTGTCTGCAAACTGAGGCCTGATTTTACATGGCCGAGAGTCATGTTTTTTGAGGGCGTTTACCTTGGCCTCCCCCATGTTGAGCCAACGCTGAAATGTGACACTTAAGTGGGGTAGATGGCACATATTGCACAAACTTGTTCTTAATGCAAAAGTATAAGCTATTTCCTTTTTAAATCTGATGAACATTTACTGCAGTTTCTTAGGGTTCCATATGTCAGCAGAAAAATGCATATGTGCCTTTCTGAGAAGCTTTAAATCAGACAGAGATGATTGTAAGACGTTTGCAAAAATGTTAATGACATTTCTTCTTGTGTCTTTCATCCTGCAGCTGACAATCATCTTTAAGAATTTCCAAGAATGTGTGGACCAGAAGATGTACCACGCAGAGACAGATGAACTGCCAGCTGCATTTGCAGATGGCTCCAAGAACGGAGGAGATAGGCACGGAGCGAACACCCTGCGCGTGGTGGAGAAGGTTCCTGGGCAGCATGTGGAGATTCAGGCCAGGTACATTGGAACAACCATAGTGGTCCGGCAGGTCGGCCGCTACCTGACCTTTGCTGTGCGGATGCCAGAGGAAGTTGTAAACTCTGTGGAGGAAGGTGACAACCAGGACTTGTACCTGTGTCTTCACGGCTGTCCTGCCAACCAGCGCATCGACTTCAGGAACTTCAGGGCTCGAGCGGCGGAGGCCCACAGCGCAGGCAGGACCAGGAGCGGTACGGGGACGCATGGCTTTACCTACCAGTCTGCAAAGGCCAAGTGCAAGGAGCGACTCCCAGTGGAGGATCTGTATTTTCAGTCATGCGTGTTTGATCTCCTCTCCTCTGGAGACATTAACTTCACCATGGCAGCCTACTACGCCTTTGAGGATGTAAAAATGCTCCACTCAAACAGCAATAGATACCACATCTTTGAACAGGATGCTTTTATGAGTAATGCAGCACAGAGGGGCAAAGATTTACTTTCTCTCTTCCTCATCAACCTCCTCGCTGTCTTGTTGTGGATTGAGTGTTGCACTGTTCATCTATAGTCCCTCTACAACAATATCCTCATGGTGTATCTGTCAGTGAGTGTTAGAGTACCATCGCTGTGTCGCACACCGCCTCCTCTCTTCTGCTCTGGTTCTGTGAGGAGACCTGGGGCTTGCCAGTAGGGTCATCCCAGCCCTAAGTCTCCTTTTAGTTGTATTGTCATGTCTTGACTTTGGTCTAATGACAAGGGGAGTCCACCTATCATCACATGTATTTAGCTGCTTCATATGACTGGTCTTTGAAGAGAGCAGCGGTGAGAGAGCCCACCTACCCCAGAGCTCAGGATATCCACCTGGGATTAAATCCCACATTCTCACCAAGGCTGCATGCCTCTGAGAAGCTGGACAAGATGATCTTTTGCAGAAAGAGGAGTTTGCTGATCCTCCCTCCCCTGATCCCCTCATTGGTGCCAAGCCAGTGAAGCTCTCTGTGGCTCATGTGGCGAAGCGAGAGGACCTGACAGGGGCTTTTGTTAACCTAAGGCCAGAAGCAGCTCTATGTTTGATTAGTTTCCAGCTTTGGAAAAGCCTGAGCCTTGTGGAGGAAGCACTCAGCCAAAAGGATGTCAGAGCAGCGTCTCCAGTTGTCTGCTGTGGAGATTAATGGGTCATATTGTTAGGTTATATGTGCGTATGTGTGTGTGTGTGTGTGTGTGAGTGTATTAGTACAATATGTGTGCAGAATTCAGCGTCTGTGGTTAATTTTGTGTGTTTGTGGGTGCAGGAATTCCCAGAAATGAGATAACAAAACTCCAGTGGGATAAATCCGTCCCATGTCTTTTTGTTGCACCCAAAATTTCAGAAATAGGGAAGACGAGGCGCTCCACAGTCTGTTTAAATGGACTCTATCAGCCAAGTAGCAAATCCCAAAAGGGAACTCATAAAAATAATCTCTTTTCATCCGTACATCATTCCCAGTGTCGTACAGCTTTTCCTTCCATTGTTTGAGCTGACGTGGTGATCAGACAGTGTTTGTATTTTAAGTCTGTAATGTGAATGTAGCTAATAAGAAAAAGCAAAAGAACAAACTTAGTTAAGGGCACTCGCAGCGTTTACACAATGTATATCAACTAATCAAAACTATGACACCTCTTTGAGAGCGTTCTGTGACTTAAACTCTCTATTTAAAGTAACATTGGTACAGATACTGTTAGTGCTATAGCTGTAAGGACGTCGCCTCTCTAGTCAGTTTAGCATTTTATAGACTACCAGTGTGCTGACCTGACTGTGGCTTATTGAGTAAATGATAAGCATATGTCTGTAGACGTGATTTCATGGCTTAAGTTGTTGCCAAAGAACAAGCCCTTGTGCCAACTTTTCCTCAACAACTGAATTTTCATCTTTCAGTCTTAAACAGTTCACATTAGGGGGGGAGGGAGGGGGGGGGGTTAATTGTATATAACTTGTGTTTGTGGGTGAATTTGCGGTACGCAGAAAAATGACAGTAACATACACTGTAAAAGCAGCATTTGTTTCTGTTTTTGCAGTCTCACTTTTTTGCTTTTCTTGGGTTTCATGATAACACTCCTCACTACGAGAGGTTTCCATTTGAACTTTGGCTCTCAGTTACAGTATCTGCTAATGTGTAAGTCGTCCCTGTAGATACTGTTGCTACTCGGGCACAGTTTGACGGTCATTTATCCTTTACACTGAAGTATTTGGCAGGCCTTACTACTGCTATTTGGAATATGTATTGGTGTAGTTTGACAGCAACAAAAAAAAAAAAAAGGAAAAAAAAATCACACAAACAAATGATTGTAATGTTGAATCTTGTGTTAATAGATGTAATTTGTATTGTGAGTTTTACAGTATATGGTTCTACATGTGTAATGTGAGATTGTACATATGTTTTGTGAGTTTAAATTTGTATATTACCAGTTGTGTTTTGAATTTATCACTCCAGTTTTTGTACATCAGATGCTTTGGTGAATGTGAACCTTTTTTTTTTTTTTTTTTTTTTTTTTCTATTTGAAAAGGGATTTTTTGCAAAAACATGAACACCACAGAACAGAATATTCAAAAACAGCATACACACTCACTTTGTGGTTGTTTTTGCTGACTTGGTCGCAGATGAAGTAAAACAACCTGAATGCAGCCCGCCTTATCTAGAATGTAGGGATTGCAGAGAGTGTTCTGGGGGTGTTCATGTTTTTGAGTTTAAAGCACTTTATGTTTTCTCTTTCATTTAGCTCTTATTTTGTTTGAAATTCTGTCAGGCTTGTAATGGTTAAAAAGAATTAACAAAAAAAAAAAACATAGCTGAATGGGAAATGCCAGAAAGATCAAATTGTGTTTGTATGTAAAGCAAATGTGGTGCCACACGCCAGCTGTTTATAATGTAAATTATTTATTGAATAAAAGAAAATGTCTTGTTAATGAGGTGCCCTCCTGTCTCATTTGCTGTTAGTGTGAGCCTTTTTTTGAAAAATCACCATGTGTTGTCATAATTTGTGTTGACTGGTGTTTGACTGCCCCCTGCTGTAGAGATGGTGACATGAACATAGTAAAAAATAAGACTTGAGAGCTTTGTATAAGGAAGTTGACATTCACTTTTAAGTTCAACATTAAACGTTTATATGCACTTTTTTTCTTGTCAAAGAATGACTGATGAAAAATACACTATTTCACAAAACCACTCACAAATGTGGTGTCTTTAACAAAATTATTGATCCTTCTGAAAATAAAATGTAATGGGTTAAGAATATACAAACAGCACAGCTAGAATTTGGTTGTATGTCCTTTTTCATCTTAACCGGCTGCTTTTTGGAGCCATCAACAAGCCTCTGGCACAATTTAACATCATGATTTTCTTGCATGGACTCATCTTTTTTCTGGTCAATCCTCATACATATGGAGTTGAGGCTTAATTTTAGCATGATTCAGACATCCCAAGTCCACTTTTGATGTGTGTTAGGGTCACTGTCCTTTTGAACACCCAGCTGTGTCCAAGATTTAACTTTTTTGCTGCTGGTTTAATGTCCTGAGTAATCCTCCTTCATTACTCCGTCCACTTTCAGTAATGCACTTGTGGCAAAGGTGCAGTAAGTGTCGAGGTTCATTGCGTTGTGCATTTTAATAAGATTTTCTACTCACCACAGTTGTAAAGAGTGGTTTATCTGACTTGCCATAGCCTTTCTGTCAGCTGTCACCAGTCTGGCCATTCTCCTCCAGTCTCTCAGCGACAAGGTGCTTCTGGCTGAATAAACTCCAGAGACTGTTGTGTGTGAAAATCCCAGGAGATCAGCAGTTTCAGAAATACTCAAACCAGCCTGTCTAGCACCAACAATCATACCACAGTCAAAAGTCACTGAAATCACATTTTTTTCTCTACTCATGTTTGATGTGAACACAAACTGATGCTCCTGACCTGTGTCTGCAGGATTTTATGCACAGCACTGCTGCCACATGATTGGCTGATTAGATAATTGCACAAACAAGTGCAGGTGTTCCTAATAAAGTGCTGGGTGAGTGTATGTGTTGTTATTGTCCTTCAAGCTCAGCAGCATTCTTGTATTTCATAGCTAATATAATTATTGAACTTTTTAGAATAATGAATATAGATGTGGTTAATGTGAACATCAGGGCGATTCACATTAACATCTTAAAATTTGACTGTATTCATACTGAATCCATCATATGATTAATTTTTTCAGGCTGTATAGGATGTGTGAGTATTGGAACAGATCTTTTATCTTCGAGCAGTTTAACATCATTTGTTTAAAAAACATGGTAAGTGTGTAGCTGCTGCCTACTCCAAACTTACTTAGGACACCTCTGGATGAGATTTGAGACCAAGTATAAGGAAATGAAAGTAAACAAACTGTCATTGTGTAACAAAGTTTATTACATATGTCCAAACATATGTACAGCACATTTCTCATGAAGAGTGGTTTTGTCACAAATATAAATTATTTAGACTCTTAAAGAACATATGATACAGGAACTGTAGCTTGCTTAATGTGGAAGAAAAGATGTGCTGGCTGATCACTGTAACAGGTCGGCTAAGTGCCCTGGACAAAACACAGATGAATTATGTTTATATTTTCCCCTCAAATTGTCAACTCTTTCAGAAATAACAGAACCACATCACAAATTACCAGAATACGTGGTCCCTTCACCAGTTTACACTGAATTATGATTTATCCTTTCAGAGCAATTTCCTTAAAATGTGACCATTTAATACTACATCCTGCCTGTATTAGACCCCAGTACTGTCCATGAACCAATATACAGTATGATAATACACACATAAATAAGGCACAAATGGAGAAGCTAAAAAAAAGAAAACAAAAACAAAAAAACAAAACCAAAGAGGGCCAGAGCAGGACCAGATTTGGCACAGGAAAAGAGTGACCAAAGGTAATAAACATAATGAAATGTCAACAGCAACTTTCTGATAACCCTTTAACCAACCAGCAACTGCACAACTGTCTGTGAATCAAAGTTTCCAAACCATAGATTAGGAAAGAAAATGTTATCGTGTAGCATTTTCAGACTTCATCAAGTACTTACATAGGTGGAAAGATGGGTGAATTAATTTAACTACACTGAAGTACCATTCTTAACCATCATAATACTGAAAGGCAAAAATCAAGGATTGTTCCAAGTCATAGTGTTATGAACCTTTCCACAAGTTGTTGCAATAAATACTGCTTACAAAGCTTCCATTTCATTGGGCCTACGAGGAGGAAAGTGATTAAAGTGAACAAAGCAACAGGACTGCAATGATTTATACAGATACACAGTTAAAGAAATAATGATTATTTGTACACATGAGAAATGTGAATTTGTTAAAAACCGTTTTCAAACTATCTGTTGAGTGTTTGGAGGAAACATACTGGCTTGACTGATCATTCAAATTTCAAAAACAACTAGGCCGTCCCGTCACACCACCATTTTAACCCACATGGTGAGACTCCATGATTCGGTTCAGCTACATGTTCAAGATAAACATTTTAAAGGTGCAGATGATAACACATTACACATTCTTTTGTACTGAAATCTTCTAATGACATCATTTGAAAGACATAAAGCTAAACACAAAAAAACATAATGTTCATGTCATGATTCCTTTGGGAATAATCCCATACATTTACCATTCAAAAAGGCCAAAACCTTCAGGCACTTTTAGGATTGAGATCAGTCATCAGTTCATGTATCCTAAAGTCTCTTTAGATAATAGTCCATGGGACTAAGCATCCATGAGCATTCCACTCAGTCTTACCATGTCTGACTGATCGAGTCCATTCATTTAAATAAAGAAGCTCGTTTTAGTATTTTTCCATCGTGAAGATGACAGAAGGAAGCAAACGTCTTCCTTCGGGGCACAAATCATTCACAGCCACAGTCACTGGGGGGGTGGGGGGTGGGGGTGGGGTGGGGCAAAATAGTTTGGTTTTGCTGGTAAAGAGGGTAACATGTTGATTCCCTTTCCAACTGTGAGCTTATGATTGGCGAGTCCAGACTTGTCCTTCAGCAGCAATATGTGGCTTTAGCCCTGGACAAAACACCCAGATCAGTCTTTTAGACAGCACTGGCAGACTTTATGTTTTCCTGTTGTTCCAGTTTGGGTCTGCCACAGCGTTGGGCTCTACAGGTCGCTCGAGTGGCGAGCGGGAGTCCTGGGGAGACTTCTGAGCCTGCGGGGAGCGAGGGTCCAACAGTGGAGGAGGTTTGTCAGGGTGGAAGGGCCTGCTGTAGTGCTCAGATCCAGGTGGACCTGCTGGCCTGTGCTCCGGCATCCTCCTGAAGTCCTGGAGAGGGCCTTCTCGTCCCTGGTGGTAGTTGGGACGGAATTCATCAGGACGTCTTCTTTTGGGGTCTGGATGCCTGGAATGTCAACCGCAGCAAGTTTATTAAAACAACAACCCAAAAACAACGAAAAAATGAAATCCAAAAATATCACCAGGTTTACCAGGCTTGAACAAAACCTCACCTGTCATAATAGGGTCTGTGACCCCTGTGGTCCCGGTCATTGCTGTACTGCTCATACGGCCTTTTTCGGGGGGAGCTGTTGTTGCGGTAACTGCCTGAGCTGCGATACGTGTCTCCATGTGGACGTCGATCACCATAGTGATCCTTGTAGCGATGCTGGTCATATGGATGATGTCGGTCTCCCTGCCATGACTGGTTGCTGTTACTGGGGTAATTGTATTTACGGTCCCTCTGCCAGTCTCCTCGATCTGCAATTAATTATGAAAGGTTAATATCAATGATTGATGTTTGTTTATTTCCTTATTGAAAAGGTTTAATTGTTTAATCCTGTGTAATGCTATTTATGGTCTAGATTTCACTGTTCAGAAAATGATACCTGCGCCTGAAACAAACCTATTCACACGTACCATCGTTGCCAAAGTGTCGCTTA